AGAAATGAGCTACCTATCAGGTTATGGTGATTCACCGCTTGCCCGATAGCCTAGTTTCATTTAGTCAACATGAGCTTCTCATTCAGGGATCGAGGATGGACAGTTTGCTTAGATCCTCAGGCCAACAAACCCTAGCATATCGAATCAATTTGACCGACCCGAAGCGAATCGAGATCAACCTACCGACTGCATGGACTCATCCTAGCAGACTAGCCAGCCTTACCGAGTTGAGGACAAACAAGCTTAGTTGACCGAGTTAGAGAGGAGAGGAGGAATAGGCTAGTATATTTAAAATACCTAGAATAACATGTACATCATCCATTAAACTAAGGGCATAAATGTAGTATTATTACATTATATCATCTCCACTAAAAATAGAGAGTTCATTTTAGGGTGATTCACAGATAAATTAGGATAACACATTTAGGCCAAAAGTTAACTCAAATTCTATTAAATAGCATAAGAAAATAATATATAGATATTTTAATTGTATAATAATATATATTTCATTAATTACTTATACAAATTTTAATATTTTAAAAAATTATAAGCATGCCAATTTTTAAGTATTATATTAATGACAAATGTAAATTTTTAAGTGCTTGTTAAACAAAACTGATTTTTTTTTTCATTTTCTTATAAAGGATTCAAAATGTAATTTTTTTTCTTGTTTGATATTGAAAAAAAAATAAAGAAAGATATATAATGAGACTTTTGCACACAAGTCCTCCACAAAATGTGGATCTAAAATTAATTCCTTTAAGGGTAATTATTATAAATATGTGATTAACTCGAAAGATATATAATGTGTGACAAAAAATTAGTGGCGTGGAAGTAATATTTTAACGTCTTAGTGTTGCTCAAAGATACAACACATTCACAGATATGTAAAAAGCAGTATGAAGCGGCACCATAATTTTTAAGTAGAAAAAATCATGAAAATGAAAAAAATCACGGTGCCCAGCCCAATCAAAATAATCAACTATGTGATTGTAAGTACATATGTATGATCTTCTCTTGAATTAGAGAAAATGAAATTATAAAACGGATAATCACAAATGTAAAATAATAGTTCAGTTGTAATAGTCATAATTAGGCTACAATTAATATGCTTCATGGCTATAATAGCAATAGGTGGACACAAATACTATAGTTGTATGCTACAAGGACAGTAGTTGGTTATAAATGTTATAGGTGATGGTTGGCGTCACTTGCCCACAAATGTCATAGTTGAAAGCAGTAACATTAATAGTTGGCACAAAGTTCGTAGTGAGCAACTACAAAGGCAATGGTTGGTCATAAAGGTGGGTGTTGGTGACTGCAATAATGACAATTAGCAACAAAGGCCATAGTTGCAAGTTTTAATATTAGTGGCTGGTCAAAAAAATCATAGTTGGCTGCTACAAATGCAACAGTTGACAATAAAGGTTATAGTCGATGGCAACTATAACGACACTAGGTCATAGAGGCACAAGTTGGAAGTAATAACAAAAGTAGTTGTTTGCAAAAGCCATAATTGATTATTACAAATGCAGTAATTAGTCATAAAGGTTGTTGTCAATAGTTACAATATCATCAATTGAGGTTGTAGTTGGTGACTGCAATAACGTCAATTGATCACAGAGACTATAAATGGAAGTTGTAACGGAAGTTGTAACAGAAGTTGTTGGCTGCAAAGACCACAGTTAGTTGTTAGAAAAGTAGTAGTTAGCTATAAAGGTTATAATTTGTTTGTAATATCGTCAGTTGGCCACATAGGTCGTAATTATTGACTGCAATAGCGTCAGTTGGCCGCAAAGGACATATTTGAATTTGTACAATTAGTATATGCCAAAAAGATTGTAATTGGCTATTGCACATGTAGTTGTTGGCCATAAAGGTCGTGGCTGAAAGCTGCAATAGCATGTGTTAGCAGTATAGGTCATAGTTGGTGACAATAATAACATCAGTTTTCCACAGAAACCATAGTTGGAAGTTGTTAAAATAGTAATTGGTCACAAATGTCGTAGTTGGTGCTATAATAGTGTTAGTTGGTCATAGAAGCTATAGTTAGAAGTTGTAATAGTAGTAGCTGACCATAGCGGTTGTAGTTGGTGACATAATACTGGGTTCTTTTTATTTAGATTGTCAGTTTGACTATAAACTTGTTGAAATTGAGACACTGTATGATATTAGATTTGAACTTTAATCGTTTATTATTAAAAAAAATACCTTAATGTTTGTGTTAGATGAAAATTTTTTTAATGACACATCAATATCTAACATCTAAACATTTTTTTCTAAGAAAATCAGATTCTTCTACGCTTTTTCTGTTACACTCGTTCTGCCTGCCCAACTTCACCCAAATTACTAACAAACCTTGTAGTTGGTGACTGCAATAACGTCAATTGATCACGGAGACAGTAGATGGAAGTTGTAACAGAAGTTATTGGCTGCAAAGATCACAATTAGTTGTTAGAAAAGCAGTAGTTAGCTATAAAGGTTATAATTTGCCTGTAATATCGTCAGTTGACCACAGAGATCGTAATTATTGACTGCAATAGCGTCAGTTGGCCGCAAATGACATATTTGAAGTTGTACAATTATTATACGCCAAAAAGGTCGTAATTGGCTATTGCAAATGTAGTTGTTGGCCATAAAGGTCGTGGCTGAAAGCTGCAATAGCATGTTTTTGCCGTATAGGTCATAGTTGGTGACAATAATAACGTCAGTTTTCCACAGAAACCATAGTTAGAAGTCGTAACAATAGTAATGGTCACAAAAGTCGTAGTTGGTGACTATAATAGTGTTAGTTGGCCATAAAAACTATAATTAGAAGTTGTAATAGTAGTAGCTGACCATAGCGGCTGTAGTTGGTGACATAATACTGAGTTCTTTTTATTTAGATTGTCAGTTTGACTATAAACTTGTTGAAATTGAGACATTGTATGATATTGGATTTGAACTTCAATCGCTTATTATTAAAAAAAAAAAAGTACCTTAATATTTGTGTTAGATGAAAATTTTTTTTGACGACACATCAATATCTAACATCTAAACATTTTTTTCTAAGAAAATCTGATTCTTCTATGCTTTTTCTGTTACACTCGTTATGTCTGCCCAACTTCACCCAAATTACTAACAAACCACTCAAATTTGCCCATGATGCATGTCTTAGGACTAACAAACCCTCAAGTACTCATAATCTCTAACAGAATACTCCAACGACATCTTATTTGAGGTCTTCTATTTAATAGTTTCAGAATTCAAATGGTTGATCAAGTGACAAACTCACTCTATGAACTTAATCCAATAGAATATATCCAACCCGATATTAGATAACATACATCAAAATTTCTCTACCAATGTGTGGTTAATCCTCTCTACCACCCTATTCTACCACGGTGTCTCTTGACCAATGAAATGGTGCCTATACAAGTTCTCTAACACACTTGCAAGAACCCACTAATGTGTATTCGCCTCATTATCTGATTTGAAACACCAATTTTTTTTTCAACATGAGTCACAATTTCTTCCAACTCATGGAAATCTCCAGCTTCTCACTCTCGAGCTTCATAAAATACAACCAAACGTATCTAGAGTAATAATCGATAAAAGAGACAAACTATTTCTGCTAGTCAAATGTTGTCTTTGTCGGGCCCAAACATCTATGTAAACACACTCTAAAATACTCTTTATATTGTGGATAACAATACCAAAAAAATATATATATGTCTTCTTGTCAAACAAAAAATGTTCAAAGAAAAACGAGCCTGCAACTGCTCGTTCATTTAATCAATCATTGTTTCACTAAAACCATAAGTAAAGCCCCTCTAGAATGAGCTAGCCGCACATGTCATAATATAGTGGCATGAGAAGAATCACTAACAACAACAACAATTCTAGTCTGTATTACCCTGAATGTAAAGGTTGTGATAGTGAACTCCCTTCTTAAAAACTAGTATTCCATGGCTTAACCTCATAATTCTTACTTTTATAAATACATTGTAGTCGTTGGATTCTAAGACTGTAACTGACAATAAATTATTCATGATATATGGAATATGTCTAAAAACATCAGTCAACTCCCTCATAGTATCATCATGCATCCTCATGATGCTTCATATACCAATAGTACGCCAAGTTTGATTGTTGCTCACAGTCACTACTAGGGCTATCAAAAAATTTATTTGTTTGGGAATAACTTCTGTTTGGTTTGTCATGTAGCTCATGTTTGAATCGTTCATTAATTAAATAAGTCGAACATGAACAAATTTTTTAAACTCGAATTATGAACAAGTCTAACACTAAGTAACAATTTGTTCTATCATTTTCGACACGTTTTATCTCGAAACAAAGAAATTACATATAAAATTTATATTTTAATATATTATATATATTTATATCTAAGTTTAAATTATAACAGAATCAAGACATGTTTGAATCTGACACCACATTTATTTTCTTAAAATTTAATTTAAACGAGTCAATTTCTAACTGAATACGAACAAAAATATATAAATCGAATCGAACAAAAACACATTGTTCACGAGCAATTTCGAACAAGATTCAAGACCGAACTCTCTCAAACTCCACTCCCTTACATCGCTTGTGGCTGTGTAACGAAAACCGGAAGCTATGGTGCCTTGGTAAATTGGCTTGAGAGGTTGGCTGAAGGTTTAGGAATTGGATGGAACGCAGATTCGCCGTTATGAATGAAAGACATGGTAGTGACATTCCCAAGTTACCGTAGCCACCGAACACAGACGAACAGATCAGGTAACTCAAGTAAATCCAAGCAAAAAAAACAAAAACAGGTTCCTTTGAAGTTGTAATGGTTGTTGGGGCATTTGGTCGAACACGTGAGGTGGTCTCCATTTCCCACAATTACTTGGAATGGTGTCATACAAATGACCGGTAGTTGGAGGACTTCAACTACCCTTCGTTGGATAAAAACATGTGCAGACATTACAGTTTTTAAACATCAAAAATCATATCTTTTTTCTAGAAAAACATGTAATAAAGAATCACATAAAATTTACAATTTCAACCATCAAATATATATTTATCATTTATGATATTATCACTCAAGCCAAAAGTACCAAACTGTAATATTTAGAATGTAATTGCAAAAAATAAAATTACAGCCAAGGAGAGTTATAAATAGGAGTAAATACAGACTTTACATTGAGATACTTCTCCATTGCCTGAAGCCCGCTATCCTTGCCAAAACCACTCATTTTGTGCCCACCACAAGGCACGTTAAGATCAGTAATGAAGAAACAATTGACCCAAATTATGCCGGCACGAACTGACCTGCTAACCCGATTAGCTACATTCAGGTCATTCGTTAGTATTCCCGCAGCTAATCCATACCTCGTGTTGTTCGCCTTCTCGATCGCTTCCTCAATCGTCCTGATTCAATCGCAATAAAAATGAAAATATTAATAATATTCATGATTAAATTATTATTTACGAGCTTTTATATACCAATCACCCAAGACTGAAACATAATATTTTAATCATTTCTTTCATTTGAGCCACCTCCTAAATCCAGTCATGAAGTCTTTAAGTGAAAGTTTTGAGAGAAAAGAAAATCCTCTATAAGTTTTTTCATCCCATCCTTTATATAGTTCGAGAGGAATACATGACGATTAAATAAGAATTTAAAGAGCGTCAATCCCAAGCTCCTATCGAACGTACTGTCCTGTGTCAGTTGGGTCAGGCTACTCCGCATGACGACGTATGGACATTGACATGCCTCGAGGCGAATTATGCGTTAAGATTGACTGGGTCGGCAATTCGCTTAGGTCGAACTGGATAGGGGCATGTTGCCTCTATCCCAATGGCGATGTGATGTATGTCGATACGAGATGCGCCGGTTTGGTCCCGTGGGTTCACCCGGTCGTCGTGAGTGTACATTATAGCTTGAAATTAGGGTTATGGTACTTACTTGAACTTCATGACGCATATCACCGGGCCGAAGATTTCATCTTTAGCTATGGACAAATCCTCCTAAGAAAAAATAATTAAACCAATTTTAATAAGAATAATAAATTATAATTAAATAAATATTTTATTAACAAGTAGAGAGACATTCTTACCTTGACATCAGTAAAGATTGTGGGCTCTATGTAGTACCCTTTCTCACCTACAGCTTTTCCTCCTGTTAATAGTGTGGCTCCCTCTCTCTTCCCTGCCTCTATATACCTAAGAACCTTCTCAAATTGTTCCTTATCAACCTACAAATTCAAGTTTTGTAAAGATTTATAATATTTGTAATTGCATCCTAGGTCATTTTAAGGGTTGGAATGCAATTACTATATTCTATCATATCTTTAATAAGTGTTGGTATAATTCTGATTGATTACATTACATGTGATGTTCATATGCATGCGGACTCCGTGTACAACAGTGTCATACAATGCATTCGGATTACGTCCGTAATATTCTCTCCATTGTTCGAGGGCAAATATCTTTTTTTTTTTTTGTTATTTCATTGAATTTATTTTAAAAATTTTAGTATATTGTTTCATGGAAAAATTAGGGTTCCAATTTCTTCACAATCAAACTATAGCTAAATCAACAAATGATGACAATATGATGTAGCCAATTATTTTAAGAAAATTATTTTTCTCACATCGTTGTAAGGGCCGTAAAGAGTTAGGCTCGTTTGAAATTAATTCTGTTCAAAATAAACTCGCGTTAGAAATTCTCCAATTCGACTCGTTTAAATTAACTTGAAAAATAAATGTAGAGGGTTGAATTCAAACTTGTATCATGAAAAGCATAGAACCACTTGAAAACATCAACTACGGTGATTTAAACTTACATATAAATATATAAAACATCTTTTGTATAAATAATAAATGTAATTTCCTTATGTTGAACTAAAACGAGCCGAACACGACCGAACAAAAGAATGTTCGTGTTCGGCTTGTTTATAATTCGATCTACTCGTGTTCAACTCGCTTACTTAACAAACGATTCAAACACAAGCTACTTAATGAGTCAAACATGAGCTGTTCGCGAACAATAAGCTTCTTAGACACCCCTATTTACACTCGTCTCATACAGACCCTAATTATTTTTTCTTGAATACACTAAAAATATTCTTTTGTAATAATTTAATATAAGGAAATATACTAAAATAAATAAATAGCACATACCTGAGGCCCTTGATGAACCTGAGGATCAAATGGGTCTCCAATAACCCAATCTTTTACATTCTCAATCAACTTCTTCAAAAATTCATCATATATCCCTTCTTGCACATAAACCCTAGATCCTGCAACACACATTTCTCCCTGCAAATATGTTTTTTCAACTAATTATAAACTTATAACAATAATAATAGAAGGTCATTAACATAAAAAATCCTTTCTTCAATTGAATGAGAAATAGTATAATGTAATTTATAATATTAAAATGTAAATAAAAGAGTAGTTAGGTACCTTATTGAAAAAACCACCCTGCCAAGCAATCTGCACAGACATATTAATATCAGCATCATTAAAGACAATTAATGGACATTTTCCCCCTAATTCTAATGAAACTGTCTTCAGATTGCTTGCTGCTGCTGCTCCCATCACTAATTTCCCAACCTCTGTAGATCCTGTGAAGCTCACCTGAAAAAGAGTTGATTAAAACATTAATTATAATAAAATACATTTTACATTTGGGGCAATTACAAACAAACCACCCGAAACTTGTTATTTACAAATCAACCACCCTCTTTCATCCATTTTTCAAATTCTCACTCGAACATCGAAATTCATGGTAAGAACCCAACGTCACATCTTTCATTTTTATCAAATTCTCAATGCATATATGCATCGGTGATTGGTTTGTAAATATCAATGTTTCGGGTGGTCTATATGTAATTATTCATTTAAAATTTAAATAAAAAATAGAAAAGAATTTATATTACAGCATCAACATCCATATGAGAAGTTATAGCAGCTCCAGCAGTAGGGCCATAGCCAGTGATAACATTGATAACCCCATCAGGAATACCAGCCTACAATTAACAGAATATAATCCTACTTTTTATCATGTAATTAAAAGAAGATTTACATTTACATTTACATTTACATACATACCACTCAATTCCTATGTATTTACATATCTAACAGCCAAATTTTAACTTCTACATTCAACATTTTTCCTATGCATGAAAGGTCGCATTTCACCGTTTTAGAAGTTAAAAAAGTGGTATTTTCGAATGTAATATGAATGATTTGGGTGGTATAAATGCAAAAAAGCAAAGCTTAGGTGTGAAATATGTAATATGAAATGATAATGCAAAAAAGCAAAGCTTAGGTGTGAAATATGTAGATACATAGGAATTGGTTGGCATGTTTGTAAATACCCCATAAACAAATTATGACTGACAATCATATAAGGTGCATTTACATTCATAATACACAATTCTTACCTATTCACATGTCTCGCACCTAAGCTTTCATATTTACACAGATAACCCTCAAATCTTTAATATTAAATCAAAAATAAAACTATTACCACTTTTTAAAAGTGAAATCGACTTTTCAAGCATAGGTTTAAAACGCCAAAAGTTTAGATCTGAGATATGTAAATACATAAAAGTTGCATGCTACATATGTAAATTTCCCATCATATAATTGTAACCAATCACTGCAATCACCTCCTTCGTCAAGTGGGCAAGATATAAAGCTGATAGCGGTGATTGTTCCGCCGGCTTAACGATCATAGTGCACCCGGCGGCGAGCGTTGGAGCGATCTTAACGGCGAAAAATAGAGTAGGAAAATTCCAAGGGATGATGTGGCCAACTACTCCAATGGGCTCCTTAAGCGTGTAAGCTTGGAACTCACCGCTACATTTGTGAGTCTCACCATTAATTTTATCTGCAGCGCCTCCATAATACCTCAAAGAATCGGCTGCAAATTTAATGTCGAAGGCTTTGGTTACATGCACGAGCTTTCCGGAATCAATCGAGTCGAGCATAGCGAGTTCTTCTCCGTGTTGCTCGATCAAGTCCGCCAACTTCAACATTATCATTCCCCTATTCTGCTCGTGAAAAGCCCGTTGTCTATGAATAGTTCGGGTTTGGTATGATAAGTAGATTGAATACAACTTTTGCAATGATGAAATTAGTTGAAATTGTAGACATTCTTTAGGGGCCATTTGGCATTTCCATATATATAGCACACAATTCGTATGTATTTACAAATCACACTTAAACATTCATATTTGCGTCAAAAATATATAGCACTCAAATCCTTAAAATCAAGTCAAATATATCACTTTTATCATTTTCTAAAAGCAAAATGCACTTTTTCATGCATAGGTTTAAAGCACCAAAGTATTATATATGTAAAATTGAAAGTTTAGGTGTGCGATATGCAAATACATAAGAATGGTGTGTTAAATATGTTTTAAGTACAAAACACATAATTCTTATGTATTTTAAAATCGAATACCTAACCTTTTATATTTTCATTTATCACACTTTGGTGTCATAAACCGACACGTGAAAAGATGTATTTCCATTTTAAAAAGCAAGTAAAAGTGATATTTTGTTATGAGTCATTAAAGATTTGATCTTTATGCATGTAAATATGGATGTGTCGGCCTTAGATATGTAAATATATAAAAATTGTGTGTTATGTATGTAAATGCCCCTTCTTTTGATCAAGTAAGCGCTCGAACCAGACACCTTGGGAATCTTTGATCTGTTTCCGATTACGCATTAGAGCACGAGAGAGAGCGAGAGAAATCTTACAAAGCCAGACATGCGAGGCCAGCTGCCATGATCAAAAGCTTCCCTCGCCGCCTTAACAGCGAGGTCAACGTCCTCCTTATCACCTTCAGCCACCTCTGTTATCACATCTCCTGTTCGAGGATCTCTTGTTTCAAATTTCTTACCTGAGTAAAATATAAATTATATCATAAATTAACTATAATTAAAAAATAAAGAGAGAGAGAGAGATTCTACCAGGATTTTCTTATAAAAAATTCATAAGAAATATCAAAGTGCCTATCCTTTGCATTAAAATATTAAATTCAGAGGGGCCAATTGCTATCAAGATAGCTATGGTTAAAATGCTCATTGTCATGGCTGCAAAAACAATTGGATACTCATCAAGTAGACGTTAACAAATAACAATGCTTTCTTATATGAAGATTTATCTGAAAAAAGTATAGAGGTAGTTAGAATGATATAGAATAAGGAATAATAGCTTGAGTCATACTCCACCACCTATAGAGGTACTTAGATAATATGAAGTAATTTGTAACCAAGCATTATGTACTGAGGTGAATGGAATGAATCATTGATTGGAGCCATTATACTTTGTCTTTATGGTATCAGAGCAGTGCCCAAGGAATTTTGGGCATCTCCCTCGATCCAATCTCCTCCTCCGATCAAGAGCTCGGAAGATGTCAAAGTCATTCGACCCGGTTCCATATGTAGCTGGCAACTCGATCCTCCTCAAGAAGCATTAAGCAAGGAATTTTGGGCACCTTCTTGATCGAGCTCCGGTGATGTCGAAGGGTATAGTTACATAGGCGGTGGTGATCTGATTCTCCTCATGAGTAAGAATTCATCTACTCTCTTCCCCCCTTTCTCTCAATCCCACCCAATCCAAAAATCCTCAACCCTTTCCACTGAAATGTCTACTTCTCCCCAATCCGAAACTCAGGACTCCCCATTCCTGGATTTATTGTTGACCGCCGTCATATCTCCCACATTAAAGTTCTTCTTACACAACTTGCATCATTTTACGCAAAAACTTCTATCCTCCAACAACCATCTCATTTGGAGAGCTCAAATCTTCAAAGCATTCAAGAATAATGGCTTCATCGAGTTCCTACAATGCAGCATCCCTTGTTCGCTGAAACTCCTTCCCTCCACCGACGATATTCCAATGCCTAATGCCCACTATACTAGTTGGATTCTCATAGATCAAAACTTAATGGTGGTTTTTTTTTCAATTATATCTCTGACGATCTTGTCTTATGTACTCCACCTGCCCACCACTGCCGAAATTTGGAATACCATAACCAAGCGCATCCAACCGACCAATCGCTCGCGACTTATTCAGTTGAAAAATGAGCTCCATAACCTCTCCATGACTACCCAAACCATGAATCAATGTCTCTCCGCTATCAAATCTTTGATTGATAATATCTCTACTGCTGGTGGAAATTTAGATGACGAGGATATCATTCTCTATAAATTGAATAGTCTTCTGGCAAACTATCAGTCATTCAAGACGGCAATCTGCACTCAATTACAACCCATCGAGTTGGACGACTTCTATGCTTGCTATGCAGTGAGGACATCAATTAAACAACGGATAAGCAAAAATTAGAGACAACCATGAATCCCCAACATGTACCGTGGAAGACAAGGTCATTCATCGCGCGAGAGAGGTGAAAAATTTTCATCACCATCAAGCCCCACCAAATCAAGCCGCACCACCTCTCGCTCCCTTGTTGTGCGTCAAATTTGCAGCAAATTCGATCACTACTCCACTCATTGCTGACATTGCTCCAACCTCGAATATGCATTTATCAACAAAATATTACAACTCGAATCATCATGGGTTTTGGATTATGAAGCTACGACACACCTCACAGCAAATTTGGCCACCGCCAAGTTCTTGCTGGGAACGGGCAACCAATTGCACTCAAACACACAGATGATGATTGACACACTTAAAATATAGTGTTTTTAGACACATTTTTATACCTATTTTTGATATATTGTGCTTTAATGAAAGATATTTGTATGTTTTTCTTTCAAGTGCAAGTAAAAAGGTGAAAAAATAATCAAATATGGAGCAAAAATACAAAAATGATGCAAAAGTATTTTGGGGCCTAAGCGCTGGTGAAACAGAGAAGACCGCGCCTAAGCGCTAAAGGCCCCGCGCTTAATTGTCAGTGACAGTTACTTGACGGGTTAATTCATTTTGCCGAATTTCGAATGGACATTTGAGACACCTATTGACTAAAATGGGTGATTATAATCACCAAGGACGAAAATATAACTAAAGTACTTATAAAAAGAGGCATCCCTTGGTAAATACATCGAATCAAGACACATTTTGAAAAGAAACCAAGACACATCTTGGAAAATTATAAAGAAGGAAATTGAGATTTTTAGAAGAGTTCTGAAAAGTTCTTGAAGAAGTTCGTGGAGAAGCTTTTGGAGAGAATTACAGACACCACAAATTTATTTTTAAATTTATTTTCCTTTTGTTTACAGTTTTAATTTGAGAGTTAAGAGTGTTGTAAGAGAGGAGATTCAAAGAAACTTAAAGAATTTGGTGGAGGATTTGAGATAAGTTTTGAGTATTTGAGATAAGTTTTTATCTTTGTTTTAAATTAGAAGCCCCACCAAATCAAGCCGCACCACCTCTCGCTCCCTTGTTGTGCGTCAAATTTGCAGCAAATTCGATCACTACTCCACTCATTGCTGACATTGCTCCAACCTCGAATATGCATTTATCAACAAAATATTACAACTCGAATCATCATGGGTTTTGGATTATGAAGCTACGACACACCTCACAGCAAATTTGGCCACCGCCAAGTTCTTGCTGGGAACGGGCAACCAATTGCACTCAAACACACAGATGATGATTGACATACTTAAAATATAGTGTTTTTAGACACAATAATTAGAAAAAACCGCATGCATTGTATGAATGAGAATGTAGTTCATATGATTGAGTGCAAATAAATAGGAAAATAATCTTTGAAGGGTGTAAAGTTAGACGACTTTAGAGTGACGGGCTAAAACCCGCAATTTGGTTTATTATTTTAAGTTTTGATATGAGATGTTAGCCCCCAAGTGGAGAGAACCAAGAAAACTCTAGAGTGAGAGCTGGTATCTTCCCTGTCTAACCGGTCTTCAGAACTATTCAAATTTTAAATTAGTCAATGTTCTTTATAGCATCTCTAGTAAGGGTAAAAAATAATATTGCTCATATTTGGCATAACACAATTTGAATACTTTCATAACAGAATTCCTATATTTATTACTGATTCATGATAAAGATAAATTTAATTTCATGCACTTCATTTACTTCTTGATTTGACCCATCTAAATGTTAAAATTTATTGTGAGGACATGTAAGAACCGGGATGGTATTGTCTCGGTCAATAATTAGAAAAAATATGCATTGTATGAATGAGAATGTAGTTCATATGATTGAGTGCAAATAAATAGGAAAATAATCTTTGAAGGGTGTAAAGTTAGACGACTTTAGAGTGACGGGCTAAAACCCGCAATTTGGTTTATTATTTTAAGTTTTGATATGAGATGTTAGCCCCCAAGTGGAGAGAACCAAGAAAACTCTAGAGTGAGAGCTGGTATCTTCCCTGTCTAACCGGTCTTCAGAACTATTCAAATTTTAAATTAGTCAATGTTCTTTATAGCATCTCTAGTAAGGGTAAAAAATAATATTGCTCATATTTGGCATAACACAATTTGAATACTTTCATAACAGAATTCCTATATTTATTACTGATTCATGATAAAGATAAAGATATTTCGTATTCAGTGTTCTTCTTTTACATAAACTCAAGTTATTTTTAATAAGTTTTTATTTCATTTTCAAACATTACAAATACCAAAAAGAGTTTAAATTTCATTCATGTGATAAAAATTATAATTTAAATATTTATCTTTTTAAAGTAGAAAGTTTGTTACTTTAATTATCGCATACTGTGAACAATCATTGTGGGTTCGATATTCGGGGCTTAATCAAAAAGTCCAATATTATTTGATAACGATACGTATATTTACGTAGTATCTCAATATATATTAAGTTAAAAAGTTAAATTCTTATTTTCTTCAGGATCAAGTTTTTTGTACTGTTGCAAAGTCAGGAAAGATAAGTAAAAAATATAATCAAATACATTGTTATATTGTTGCATATAAACAATCGGGATCAATGATATTCTTCCTGCGCCAACTCGCATCCTTTGCCTCCCCTCTATATGGCATGTATCATCTCTCTCTCATAATTTTCTCTCTATTCATAAACTAATTGCTAATAATAATGTGGAAATTCTCTTTGATTGTTCTGATTTTATCTTTGATCCGCATACCCAACAAATCTTACTTCGTAGATATATTTCAAAAGTACTATACTCCATCCCTACGTCTCCACTCAACCACTACAGTCGCTCATCAAGCATTGGGTACCTCCATGCAAACTTCCACTCTTTGGCACAAACGCTCAAACATCCTCATTCAGATATCCTCCACAATATGTCAAAAGTCTAACCAACACTTGACATCAAATATTCAATATCCCTATGTAATGGTTGCAAATGTAATAAAATTCATAAGAAAACTTTTCCTTCCCGTTCTTTGCGCATGTATTTACCTTTACAAATTATACACTCAGATGTATGAGGTTCATCCCCAATCTTGTCAAATTAAGGTTTTCGCTATTAAGAAGTTTTTATTGATGACTAATCTAAATTTTGTTGGCTATATCCCATGAAGTGTAAATCTGAACATTCTCACATAAGCAAAGTGTTTCATCACCTAATTAAGAACCAATTTAACACCATCATAAAATCTTCAGATTTGATAGTGATGGCCAATATTAAAACTTCACCCTCAAACAAGCTTTCACCCAACAAAATATAATGCACCAATTCTCATGTTCGTATACTACTCAACAAAGCTTGCACCGATTTTCGAAATCACTATAACACTTCTGCAAGATACCTCCCTCCCACACAAATGTTGGCTTGAAGCTCTACTTACAAGTGTCTAACTCATCAACAGCATGCCCTCCAAAAATACCCAATGGATTATACCATAAGAACTCCTTGATAAAAAGCCACCTACATACTCACACCTAAGGGTATTTGGATGCCCATCTCCCCATAAAGTTACTCCTCACTCCGCTCCACGTTTCTTTGTCGGATACTCTCCACTCCATAAAGGATTCAAATGTTTTAATCCTCGCACATCTAAAATCCTAATTTCACGCCAAGTTGTTTTTCATGTGAAACAACATTTCTTCACCATACCATCAACTATCCCGTTATACCAACAAAGACATCTCATCCCAATCCTCTCATACTCATCCTTTTTCAGTTATCCAACCAAAAACCACCACCATGGAGCCCTCTTAAAATCCTGCACCGAACATCCAAAGCAACTCCACCTCACCAACCGGCCAACCTACCCCCCTCCCAACTCGTCTACCTCCAAATAATCCTGCACCCATTGATCCGTCGATGGCCACTACACATCCCATGATTAGTCAAGCTAAAACCGGTAAACTCAAACCAATCCAACGACTTAACATTCTACATACAATCTTGACCTTCTTGGATCCTACTTCGTATACGCAAGCCATAAAATTTGAACAATAGAGAAAAACCATGAGTGAAGAATTTCATGCTCTTCAAGGCCAAGGAACATGGAAACTTGTTCCTTCCTTTCTCAATCATTTGGTCTTGGAATATCACTGGACATATTGTACAAATCACCATTCGGATGGCTCGGTCACTCAGCACAAAACAAGGTTAGTCACGCAAGGCTTCAACCACGAATACAACATCAACTGCCATGAAACTTTTAGTCCATTTACAAAAATAATAGCCTCTAACAGTGGCCTTCAATTGTAACTGGTCAATTCATCAATTTGATGTCTCCAATGCATTCTTACATGGTACCCTTCACGACACAAACTACATGAGATGACCACCTGATTTTACGGATCTACAACTTCCGCAACACGTGTCTCCTCAAAAATGCTCCATATGGACTCAGACCGTCCCTTGAGAGTGGCTTACTACCATCTCCAACTTCTTGATCTTATTAAGTTTTACCATAAGCCGAGCCGATCCATCCTTGCTCATCCACTGAAAATCTGCATATACATTTTTCCTTATATATGTAGATGCCATCCTCATCACAGGAGATTGTATGTAGGCCATCAAGAAACTTACTAGCAAGCTATCCAATCGCTTTGAAATTAAACAACTCGACGAGGTACACAGATTTCTCGATATTGAAGCTCTAGGATAAAAAACTTTGAGTTCTTGAGCCAACAAACCTACCTTACCAACATTCTTCATGAGACAACCATGACGGGCTTTAAACATGCATCTACGCCCTTTCAAGCAAGAAGATAGATATTCCAGACAACAGACCGCCCATGGATAATCCCACGAAATATCGACGAGCCATCAATGCCCTACAGTATCTTACGATCACTCGACCGGATATTTCCTTCAACAAAATCTACTAGCACATGCATCAGTTTACCATTCATCATTATCAACTACTTAAACACCTCCTCAGATACTTACAGGGCACTCTCACTTCGGGCATACTCATCAAACATTGTGACCTATGTCTGCAAATCTTTTCGGATGTTGATTGGGCAGGTGACTTGGTAAATCAAAAATCTACAACCGGCTTTTGTTCTCTACTTGGCTTAACTCCTATCCATGGACAGTGAAGAAATAACAAACAGTCGCTCGGTCCTCTACAGAGGCAGAATACATCGCCCTCACTTTTGCCACTGGAGACATTATATGGCTTCTCCGTCTTCTAAAGGAACTTGGAGTGGACCAACTTCAACCTACGAAACTCTTCTATGACAATGTTTTTGCCATGTTTATAGCTAACAATCCCGAATTTCACGTTATAACCAAACATATCAAGATCAACTACCATTTCATTCAAGATCATCTCCACCAAGGTTAGCTAGCAATTCACTACATCTCTACCCATGATCAACCGGGTAATATCTTCACTAAACCTCTTGCCAAGCAGAACTTTCAATACTTCAAGTCCAAGCTTCAATTCTTCCCAATAACCATCAGCTTGAAGGGGGATCATAGCCATAACAAAATTAATTATATACAATAAGGAATAATAGCTTGAGACACTCTCCACTACTTAGGGGTGGTTAAGTAATATGAAGTAATTTGTAACCTAACTTTATTTACTGAGGTGAATGGAATGAATTATTGATTGGAGCCATTATACTTTGTCTTTAGAAACAAGTAGCCAGAAAAAAATAAACATGTATGTAAACTCAATGAATCATAGTATCGTCAAGTAAGCATCTCACCAACAATACTGTAGATTATCACGAGTCATAATCCGCTATGCTTTTATGCATTCTACATCTAACTACTCTCTATTTACTTGAGTAAAATGTTATAATTTTATTGCTCTTTAAGTTTATGTCGATGAAATAGTTATCATAGGCCCTGTGACGATACCCATCGTCTCTTAAAGACCTTTTTACACGAACCTCAATTATTAAAGATCTGGCTCAAAACTACCTCGACAATGAGTCTGCCATCACACCTATGGATACAACCAATCACCTCAATCCTGAAGACGAGCTTCCACCAAAAAAGTCTGCATTTCAATGATTGGTGGGATGCCTTATTCGACTGACCTCATCTAGACCAAACATTACTAACTCAAATCCAGACTTGCACGAGAATTTTCATCTTTGTCAACTCCTCACAACAATTGAATACATTTTATAATGTCGACTGATCTCTTTCCCCGAAACAAAGGTAATATGTCATTAGAACCAACATTTGTTGGGTAAAGAATTTAGTATTCATTTTCATTTAGGGATTTCCTTAATGTTTAGAGTTTCGAATTTAGAGATTCCCCAATTTCATGAAAAGCAAAAAAATAAAACACATTCTCCAAATCATCAGCTACAAAACATAGGCAACCGCAGTTAATAAGACAGTGCGGCTTGAGACAGCTACTAAACTGCTTCGCCATCCCAACTTCCACCCCAAATCCAATCTTTTCCGCCGCACAATCCCTCATACACATTGCCACTAATATTACTTTTCACAGACGAACCAAACATATTGAGATCAAATCCAACTTAATCTGAATTCATCACAACTTGCATTGATTCCATAATGCTCAATAATGCAAATGCATTGATTCCATGGCCGTTTCTTTCATTTATTTGTGCCCTTAAGGTATTCCTAATGCAGCCTTCTCCTACACCCTTTTGGCAATGCATAGGCTAATAAAACTGCACAGTAATATCCAGAAAAACAAAAATTAAAAAAAATGGGTTTCAGCTTTTTCTACATTTGTTTCCCGTGACCAGGAATTTAATAAATTAAGAAAAAAATAATAATAATCTGATGCCATGCATGATGAGATAATAGTAAGTTTCTCAAATAAATAAATAAATCACTGCTTGATAAATCTCAGATCAAATTCATGCTTGGTTAGATTTAAAAGCTTAAAACCCCCAAAATTTTCAGACTAAGGTAATAAAAAAATCAAAATTTTGGTTTAATTTTGATTTACTAAAACCCTGTAACCTCAGTTAGAGAGATTCATCCTCTCTCTCTCTCTCTCTCTCTCTCTCTCTCTCTCTCTCTCTCTATATATATATATATATATATATGCATAAATTTAAGCAAAAAATATTTCTGAAAAATCAAAACTTCTCATGTAAAATACCTATGAATCTATAGAAAGAGACAGCAGAAACTTAAAGAAAATATTTTATAAGAAATATTTCGATAAAAATTTTCATAAACATAAAGAAGAACAGAAAGAAAAAAAAAAGTCAAATCTTTATATATAAAAAGAAGAAGAAAGGGTTACCGGAGATGGAATCAATGAAGGCGCCATTGATGAAGAGCTTAGTGAACTTAATCTCTGGCATCTTCAGCACCGAGCTCCCATTGGAGGCCATGGCGGAAGCTTTCTCTCTCTTTCTCTTTCTAAAGGCGTGGCCTTGGATTCCATGATGCCATGCTTATCTATAAGAATAAAAAAAAAGTCCCATTGGAGGCCATGGCGGAAGCTTTCTCTCTCTCTCTTTCTAAAGGCGTGGCCTTGGATTCCTGAACTAAGTTTTTTTCTTAGAAGTGGAGGCACAGCATGATGCCATGCTTATCTATAAGAATAAAAAAAATATATGAGAAAGTTAGCAAAAGAGTTTTTAGTTTTTAGTTAATTCAATTTTAAATGAAAATTGTAGTTATCTAGAATTTAAAAAATATGAGAAGGTAACAAAAGAGTTCTTAGTTTTTAATTAATTTAATTTTAAATGAATAAATTAGTTAATTAATCTTGATTTAACCCTTATCATAAAATAATCTCTTATTTATAAGGGACGGGTATAATATATGAAATTATGTGTTTGTTCCTGCTTTAATAAAGGGTGTTATAGAATAATTTATGGATTTTAAATGTAAAGCCTACGACTCGGTTGGTTGCCCACTGACTCTTTTAGTCAAAGTTTGGCGGGCTTGGATTCAATAAGACCCGCTTGTCCACCTATGTTGAGTTGAGATTATCGATCAACCTTTCACTGACTATAGGTCAACAGCACTGACTCGATTGACTTGACTTTGTTAATCGACTGATCCAGTCTGACTATGAGTCGTTGATCTCTGGTGAAGGGCTTCTGTTGAGTGTCGACTGAGCAATGTTAGGCTATCGGACAGATGGTGGATTACTGCAACATGATAAAAAGACCATTTCCAAGTAATGAGAGTCGAATTGATGATTTGAATTTTTGGTGACATTGTTACATCACGATTTCTAATAAGAAACTGTTGAAGTATCTATGGGATAACTTTTGATGTTGAGAAGCCGAGTCTCTCCTCAAGTTAGAGCACGGACCATCTAAAAGTCCTTTGCCTTGAGGCTTGCCAGAGCATTTATGATGACTAATAATTAAGCTCACGATGTTGTCAACAAAGATTGTAGTCATTCACCATTAGTGATTGTTATAGCTAGATTATTATTCCCAGCCAAAATATTGAAATTCAATTAAGATTTTGTAACACCATCTTCTTTATATTTATAGAAAAGTGAAATTTTATATATAGAAATATATATTAGATTATTTTAATTGAGGAAAAAATATTATATCTATGGTTTATATATATATATGAATATAAATAATGATGTAAATCACACCTCACTATATCAAGAGCTTATTCCATCAAGTTATCGTACACAAATTTATTTTTGGAGTCCAGTGAACACTAGTCACGTGTTTAGTGGGCCCCATTATAAGACTTATGATTGGGCAAGTTTTATGGAGGAGTGAGGTGGACAAAATGCCCTCTGAATTATGGACGTAAATTTTATGTCAGATATTCTAATGGAATAATATTTCATATATCAGGGGTTGAGAGGCATTCCCAATTTATATATTCTCTTTTCAAAGTTTTGCAATTAAATTTCATGTTGTCTTTTTCTTCCAACATTCATACTCTGTGGCGTGGGTTGCACGCGCGCTCTCTGATATATATAGAAAGCTCAACCTCTCAGAATCACCGATCGCCCGCCGCCGGAGAAATGCAATCGTTGCAGGAGAAGGCGTCGGAGTGGAGCGGCGTGCTGGAGAGCGACGCCTTCGCGATTGATGAAACCAACCTATTCAACGCCCTCGGTGGCGGCATCAAGCCCTTCGTCGAGCTGTCCACCAATTTCTACAACAGGTCCGTCCGCTCTATATTAGGCTCTCTTTTTTGCCTCTGTTGTGCTGATTTGAGGGTTTTCTTAGGGTTTATAATGACGAGGAGGAGTGGTTCCGATCGATCTTTGCCGGGTCGAAGAAGGAGGACGCGATTCGGAATCAGTACGAGTTCTTTGTGCAGAGAATGGGAGGACCTCCTCTTTATTCCCAAAGAAAAGGTAATCGATCATAGGCCTTGTTTATGATGATTTTTTGGCCGTTTGCTTCCATTTAATAGACAAAATCAGTTCATGATGTTTCTCAGAATATTTCTCCAAATAGTTGTCATGGTTCTTTTTGCAATTCTTGCTCATTTTGATTTTTTTGCTTCATGAATTTCATGCAAGTGAAGATTTTCCTTAAAGTTTTTCTGCACCGTGTCCTATTGACTGTTCGTGCCTTGAATACGTTTAGGATCTGTTGGTTGCCAAGTTTTGTTTCATTTGGAATCCATTCTTGAGACCACCATTCTTTCAAATTCAGTGAATTGGATTTGGAAGCTGAAAGTTAGAACGAAAATTAGAAATAGAGCCCAAAATTACAAGCTGTGTAACCTTTTAGAAAGTGGAAAATCTGTTGTGCATCATAATTTCTCAAAATTCTCTTGTCTAACCTGCAAAATGGAGGTAAAAAACTATATGATATGTCTATTGAGTTGAAACAATCGTGGAGCTTCTTATAGTAAATTTTAACACTCATGTTTGGAGAGAAGAAAGTTCAACTGCTCAATTATTGTGCAGAGAAATACCAAGCAGATTGAGTTGAAAAGAAGGTTTTTGAAACTCGCCATAGATAAGGCTGATGATTCATGATCTCAAAAGATTTAAATAATGTAGTTTTTAGATGGACAATGAACTTATAGTAAATTTTAGCACTCATGTTTGGAGATGGAGAGAAGAAAGTTCAACTGCTCAATTATTGTGCAGAGAAATACCAAGCAGATTGAGTTGAAAAGAAGGTTTTTGAAACTCATCATAGATAAGGCTGATGAGTTCATGATCTCAAAAGGTTTGAATCATGTAGCTTTTAGATGGACAGAGATTTATTCAAGTCTTTTGACCCATCATGTCTCTATGGCTTTGCTTTTAAAGCATTAAAATATTTTTGAATTCCATGCACTATTTTTTAAATTGTATCTTTAGTTGTGTATCACCCAATACAAATTGAGTCATTTTAAATCAATTATTTTACTCTGACATCAACTGATGTTTGGGGAGCTATTTGTTTTGATCGATACTATCTAATTTGAATTTGAGTATTGGTAAATTTTTTTGCTAATTTGAATTTGAGTATTGTTAGAATTTATTTCATGAAACAATGATTTTAACCAGCTCTTCTTAAAGCTGTTAGGTAGGCTTTGATGGCTATAATTTTCTTAGGACCCAATTAGGTATAACTTAGAGGTTGAAGAAATAAGGTTCAATTTTTTTACGAATCTAGACTTGAATTCTCTGGGGTTTTTTTCTTGGTCTCAATCTCAATCTTGAATACAAAATTCTCTGGGGTTTTTTTCTTGGTCTCAATCTCAAAGGTAGTCATTGATTTCTCTTTCTCTGCTAGGCTCTCTTGAATACATTTGATAGATTTTTTAGATCTTTTTTTGACACCCACCTTAAATCTCTCTCTCTCTCTCTCTCACTCACTCATTGGATTACTTTATTTCTCTATTGATATAAGAAAAATATAGAAGGAATGAAAGTGCTGAAAGAGTACAGGTATTATATTTTTTTTTGTCAATAATATGGTTCTTTTTCTATTATCATGTAATTTAAAGGGATTGGATCTTTGTATAAAAAAATGTTGTGATAATTTTTATTAGTTCAAAATGTTGTGAGAATGCTATTCTGATCCCACTGACTCCCTCCTCCCCAACATAATAATGAGCTTACTTTCTCCGTCCAGACTGACAAATCTCCGCAATATCCATCAAATTTATATGGAGTTGTTTTATTTTTTTTTTATTTGTATTTTTTTAGCCTTAATTGTGTTTAATTTTATAGAATTGTATATAATTGTAGGTTGTCATCTACTTGAACTTCGTCATTATTATCGGTATGCGTATCTCTTCATTTAAACTAGGTTGTTAATCTTTAAGGTGGTTTGGTCTAATGTTTTGTGTCCTAGGTGTTAATTGTTATTTTATTTTATTTAGCAAACCATAACACCCTTATTACCGAAGAAAGATTTACTATTTTGATTAAAATGTAAGCTAATTGGTCGGCATAATCATCTAAACGTTGGATTAATTAGAGACAAATGTCTGCAGATGGTCATTTCTATTTTTTTGACAAAAACTGTCAGATTCACTAGTCTAGTTCACAACCGTAATGTAATTGTGACATGCATTTTGCTTAAATCACCTTCTTCATATATTGCTTCATAATTGTCTTTCAACTCAAGAGTTTCTAATTTGTACATTTGATGCATTTTTAAAAAGTGTACGGCTCCTAATTTTTTTGACTTTTGATTGAGGATATTAAAATTTTATGAGATCCTCATAACAATAAGATAAATAATGATCTCTCTGACCTTTATATTAATAAATTATATTGATATTCATGAAGAATGAAAAACTTGGGATAAATTTCTAGAATCAAGTACAAATCTTAAGGCTATTAACATATATGTAATAATGAGTGCATCTAGATCTCTGACTAAACCATTCTCAGGATCAAATTTCTTCATCGACAGTATATAAACTCCAGTGAAATGATGGTTTGACATGGATATGATTTTTAATTATTCAATCACATAGAGGAGTAAAATGCCATCGATCGCGAGGCTTTTTTGTTTGACACCAATCTCAATGATGAGGTGGTTTTAGTTTCCTTTATACATTCTCAATGATGAAGTACCAAAATACCTTTCTTACTACCATCATTTTAAATAACCCAAATGCGTAAGGTAAGGATCAATCTCTCTTCTTTCACTCTTTTCCCTATTGAAAGCTCAATTGAGCAGCTTTTAGGCTTTTAAGTTCATTAGTTGACTTGGGCACTGGATTGTGTCAGGCTTACAATTCTTTGGCCATGTAGTTAATAAATTTGTCCTTGCGTGACAATTAAAATTCATCCTCTCTCAGGGAAAGAAGGTTTCATTACTTAAAAAAGCTGATAATCGATGAATTAATATTATCAAGATGTCCTACGTGGAGGCTAATTATAAATGCAGAAAATATGCTCATAGAGAGGACAAATAGATTTTAGTGGTTGAAATCAGGAGACCTACATCTACTATGAGAAAGGTCAATGAAGTATTTATTGGGAGAGAAAGGATACAATTATATAATCTGTCCAAAACTCCATATGAATACTATTATTTTTTCAGGCTATGTTGTCTCTCGCCATGCTTCTCATTAATTATTTTTGTAATTATTTATAGGAGTGCCTAGCTCAAAAGTTGAATTGAAGATTACTTGAATGTTGAAGTAGATCTAGTGCCAATGGATGGCTTATCATTAATAATTTGAGTTAGTGTCTTTTAAATTTCAATTTACTGGTGATGATATATTCCAGGTTCGTCTTCTATGCGCAATATCATTCTTCAATGGGTTTGCAAAATCTTTAAATACTTAATGAAACTTAACCATATTGTTAAGATTTTTCGAAGAGGATTTATAATAGTTGAGATTAATCCCGAGCAACTTTGTCTATTCTAGAGCTTTTCATAGTATTTCAAACATTTCAATCATTTATTTCTGAATTTTTTAGTTTTCCTTTCCAAGTATATGGGTGAGAAATTTTCCAATATTTAGGTGAAATTCAAGGATTATATTTTCTCCCATTTTGAAACTTTATGAATAGGATAGTTTTTTAAAATGTGACATCATGTGATGTTCATGTTTTTCTTCTTCTCTTTGTGCCAATAAAACTATGTTTCTCTTTCCCCTAACATAATGTGTCAAAGGAGTTACTTTTTTTTTTCTAAATCTTTTGGACGGATTTTAGTCAAAGAAGCCTTCAACATTTGAAGAGAGTTGTTGGTGATATTCTCATGCAAATGTTGCAGAGGGTGTTGTTGTTACTCATGAAGTGTCATTCTTGTGACTCTAAACCCATGCTCTTAAATTTAGTGAGTTTCTTTTTTTGTTTATTTTAGTTGTTCTTGAAAAACGCCGCCGCACTTATAAGCTGCCCCAAACGGGCCCTAAATCTAGTGGGGGAAACCATAGACTTTAGATATATTTATGCTAAAAAAGTTGTAGAAGACCGAATCTTTTGTTGGTTTTCCACTCTAAATCTAGTGGGGGAAACCATAGAGAATGATGATTGAATTAGCTAGTGAAGATGATACGATTTGACTTAGAAATTGATATTATTTTTTCGTAGAAATTAGTGCAAAATAAATATTTTTCTTTAGTAATCGAAAACAACACGAATCCAAGGATAAATGTAATTTTTTATGTGATGGGTGGTATAAATGGTTTGGGTGGTATTTTCGATATAATAGAGATATTGCTTAGGCCTCCTTTCACATATCATGAGCTATCACCATCTATGCAACGTCCATCCCCGCTATGATGGCTTTCATCATGTCCTCCAATACTAAATTCTAGGGGTGTAAATGAGTTTAACTTGAGCGAGCTCAACTTTTGTTTGTGTTGGGCTCATTCAAAAATTAGTTTGTTATAAATCACATCGTGATCTAAATTGCTTGTAAATAGTATATTTGTGTTCAATTTATCTATTTATGTGCAGCTCATGTTCATCGCATGATTAGTATGAATTATTTAAAAATGTTAGATTTTAATTTTTTACATAAAATATAAAAAATTAAATAAATATAATACAACAACAACAAAACCAAAGCCTTTATCCCCCTAAATCGGGTCGCCTACATGAATCCTTTTGCTCCATTGTATCCTATTGAGTGTCATATTTTCATTTAATTCTAATAGATTAAGATAATTTTTTGTACAATATGCCCAAATCTTTTTAGGCCTACCTCTTACTTTCTTAACATAGGTAGAATCTAAAACATCGGCTCTCCTAACTGGACCATCAGATGGTCAACGTTTAATGTGACCAAACCATCCAAGATGACTCTCTCCAATCTTCTCTGTCACTAGAGTTATACCAACCTTTTCACGGATAAATTCGTTTCACATTTTATCTCTAAGTGTCAAGCCACTCATCACTTAAGAATTCTGATCTCAACAACACTTAATTTTGTTTATGCT